TCCCACGCTTGCTATCAGCGTTCGTTCGGTCACACACGGAGTATGCCGTTCAAGTATGGAATCCACGGTTAAACCGCGACAGGAAGGCTCTAGAACGTCCGCAGAGGCCGGCAATGAAATTGGTAAAAGGTCCGTATAACAAGACATACTCCGAAAGACTGCAACTATTGGAACTCTACTCATCCCAATACCGCCGACTTCGAGGGGACCTAATATTGGCATAACACATACTGCATCAACCCAACCACCCTTGCCGTTCTCTGCTGACTTTATCTCATAATGATCACCTCGGGGGACATCCACTAACGGTGAAGACCCAGAACGGCCACCTTGATTGCCGGTATCACTCGTTTGCAGCCGGAGTGTGCGGCTCATGGAATTCTCTCCCATCTAGTGTAGTGTGTGCACCTATAACTGAACTATTTAAACCGCAACTTGATAGACCATTGGAACACTTAAAATTTCAACATCCTTGAGTGATCATGCACATTATTATCATCGTTATTTTCTCTTTGTGAAGTTATTCAAAGGATTCTGTAAAAATCTTATGGGGCATGATGAGCTTTAGCTTTGTTAAATCGCCCATAATAAAACTCTGACTCTGACTTTGACTTACAACACATTACAAAATCCATATTGGATAACTATGTTTCTACATTCCGTTAGCACGTTCCACAACTCATTAACCATGCATTTCGGCCATTGAGTGCCAGGGTCGATTCCGATGAAGGGCGATCGAAAACAGTAGATCACGTGATTATCGAACGTTTTCACTGGTTTGCTTTTGCATTTTCATTGTGGACATTGAAATCATCACTATTGCTTTTATTCGAACAGCCTTTTATTTGTGTTGTGGGACGCGATAAATGATAGTAAAAGCCGAATTCGCATCCATCTTATGTCCAGTTTCGAACAATCGTGCAAGAATGGAACTGGAAATAACTCGGATTACTCCGTGTCTAATTGTGGTGATTCAGGCCTACACGATGGCGCCTACCCTGGAGCGGCGCGTTACAGCCTCAGGACATTTGCGATCAATCAAGTTTGAATGCTGACGTCAGTGACACGGGCATGGCTTCTGAATACACGTCATTGGTGGATGGTGCCAGCCAATCCAAGACAGTGCAGATAGAAGCAAGATTATTCAAGAAGTGTTGGAATCCGATTGGTGGAAGTTCAGACAACTAATGCTCTTCTTTTGTACATATTATTTAATCGCCCTCGTTTCTTTCAATAAACGAACTACGTACTACTATTCCTGTCACCGTTTCCTCACGTCTCGTTCTCGTGGGACACTGCGAAACCGTGCCATTTTGGTCCAGTGCTTCTGAGATCCAGTCCGTGATAGCTGATTATTGATTCGGGTCCTGTGATTCCTATTTGGAGGTTTGCATTCCGAATTCCGTGTGTATTACTACTACTACTACTACTACCACTACTACTACTACTACNACCCTGGAGCGGCGCGTTACAGCCTCAGGACATTTGCGATCAATCAAGTTTGAATGCTGACGTCAGTGACACGGGCATAGCTTCTGAACACATGTCATTGGTGGATGGTGCCAGCCAATCCAAGACAGTGCAGATAGAAGCAAGATTATTCAAGAAGTGTTGGAATCCGATTGGTGGAAGTTCAGACAACTAATGCTCTTCTTTTGTACATATTATTTAATCGCCCTCGTTTCTTTCAATAAACGAACTACGTACTACTATTCCTGTCACCGTTTCCTCACGTCTCGTTCTCGGATTATTCGTGACGGAAATGGTAGTTCTACTCCCCGAACGATACAAAACCTACCATTCTGTCAGCTTAAATAAATTATACTTTCTCCTTTTATCGATCCTGTGAAACGAGAGTCCTGATGTGTTCAAAGGGCCAGTTCAATTCCTAATTCGCTTTGGAATGTATAAATTAACCATTTTTATTTTTGATACCAATACATTTAAGACATCAGTAATAATAGAACAAGTGATAAACGGGTCTTTATTCACTGAACCGGAATGAATAAGTAAATATTTTTCAATTCCTAAAGAAATGCTGATTGTACTCATTCAGAGTTAGTGAATGCCTGATTGTGTTATGTTTTCGCTCACCGTATTGTTTGGGCACAAAATCGACTCGTATCATCTGTTGCGTGTCTGGTTTGATCAGACCTTGTTGGGGCTTCGCGCGGAAATGAGCGATCCGAGGTAGACGAAATCGTATTGGCAATTCTTCACCCTGATTGACAAGGTAGAACGTTGCGGACTGTTGTTCGCCTACTTCACATGAACCAAACTCCACGAGAAGTCGATTCCCGGAACAGGGTTTCCCGACTGAAGCCCGTGTTTCGGGCACAGAATTTGATATGGCGGATAAGTCCGGAAGAATTTTCATTTGCACAGGAATCAAAGTTCCCGTGATGACTATTTCCAAGTCATGTGAAGGTTGGTCCTCACGTTGTACGCCGGGCCGCTGCGATAAATCGTCATTATGGACGGCTAAAACCAAATAATTTTAAGTATTAATTTTACCATTGGAAACGTATTCGTCGATCCTTTTGCACGATCTTACACCAAGGACGAATTAACTCAGTGCAATCGACAATAGTGAACATTCTGTCGAAATGAACTTGGAACAAAAAAAAGAAATTGAAACGAACGAAGAATCGAAAATATAAAGTGATTGCTTTCATATTGGAATGATCACTGACTATGGAATGTTCAAATCATCATTCAAAGCATGTGACCACGACACGGAACCAGCGTGTGCATTTATACGATCAGCCGTACGAATCTGATTGCAAGATAACTGAGTTTTCCAATCACAACGGCCACAACGGTTTATCGATTTGTTTCCCCCGTTAATTAACCAATGGTTGATCCAATCACCGCGCGCGTTTCGTCTTCTTTCCCATAACTGAGGAAGCACTGAAGCACATGTGACAAAAGCACGAACTGAAAAAACGGCGACAGGAGCTTGTTAGTTAATATCCTGGCCTCCCGTCATAAGATTGCTTACTAACGTTCGAAGAATTTATCAATAAGGTAGAATTCCCTTGTTGGACAAAATTCCAAGCCGAATGACCATCAGGCGTGGCGTGATGTAGTAGTCCGAGGTACCTGACTTAAAATTAAGTGCACAGTAGAACATCCATTTGCCAAATCTTGACTAATATTTGCGCTTATATATACCGCATGATTTCTTTAGCTGGTTACAAACATTTCCATCGAATAAATTATATAATATCTCGTTTTCCATTGACTCTATTCGACTTGAATGCAGAGGACGAGGACTGTCAGTTGATATTCACAAAGTGTTCTTTTCAGTCCTGTTGCTGACCAGCTATCGGCTTGACAACCAACTCCGGACTCATTCCAAAACACAATGAGTGTGAGGATCTCATTGCATGGCGGTATTAGTATTCGGTCCCTTTAGTCTAACGCATCTCGATGCCCAGTATGACGCGCACATGAGATACTTGGGTAAAGAACTGAAGTTGACTCGAGTGAAACCAGTGATTGATATTTTTTGTCTCCATTTATTTGGTCATGCAAAAGAATGGTTCCAAAAGAACGATAGGAAATAAGAATAACTTTGAACGCGTGTGAAGGAAACATCAACAGCAACAATAATAGTCATGACAGCACCCATTATCCACTCTATTGTTGGCTTTTTGAAAACTCATGTGCGGATTTCAGAAGAAGATTAACAACAACAACAACAACAACAACAACAACAACAACAACAACAACAACAACAACAACAACAACAATAACATTAACAACAACAACAACAACGGAAGCAAAATTCTAAATAACTACGCGCGGACTGACTTAAAACTAAGAATTTACACCATATATATATATGCTGATGAGATCTTTGGTCTTTCATACACAAATACTTCTGCCCTATTCAATCCCCCATTCAAAACCACAACAATGCTTATGCAGAGTTGGACGTACTCATATCATGTTTATCACGCTTACGTCCATCAGAATTATTCGGGTCTGATTATCTATCATACTGAAATTGCACCTTGACGTGGTGTAAATGCCTGTTCATGTCTTTGCCCAAACACGCTTCTCACAGTGGCTTCTTTCAAGCTAACGATGAACAGTGTAGTAATTAGGACCATTAAAACCAGCTCGATCGTTTCACACCTGGCGGAATCAAACCACGTGGTCAATATGACCGAGGCGTTTTGACCCCTCTACTTGGATCTCACCCACCGATCTAAGAGGATTAGGAGTTGTATTTCGGGCCACAGCGGAAGCGATCCGAATACACCTACATAATCCCCCTGTACTCGCAACAACAATTCGTAAGAACACTCGGTCTTCCATGGCTAACACCACACACGACACAGCCATCCCCCAACCCGCCCCTAATGACTCAAACAAGTGAGCATATGTGAGGGCCAAAGTGTGAGTGACATCATCCGGTCATGGAACTGGAATGCTGATTATCTCTTTTCCAATTTGTCATAATTTATCCCCCCTATCTTCTAAACGGTTTCATAGAAATTGTGATGTATTAGCTTGTAGAAGAATCACCACAAACGAGCTTGTTCGCTACTTTGTGTTCCCTCACAATACGATTCGTCCGGCCTAAAACGCCAGAAGGTTCGAGACAGACAATATGGTTGACTCAGCTGGGCGACTTAATCAACGAACATAGGAGGAAAGAAGCGATCCGATTAGATGGGTCTTTATCCCGGATGCGACGCGGTCAGCTTTTCTCTCAGACCTAGAAAGATAGATAAGAATCCTAGTTGAAGGCCCCATGGCATTTTACCCGATCATCAAGCTCCAATGAGCAGGCTGAATTGGTTCAATTCACTGTATGTATTCTGTGTGTTTGAACATAAAGTGCTCATAAATATGGGTAAAACCGGACTTGGTACTTTTAAGTATTTTTTTATTAAAAATTCCCAATAGTTGTATTTATTCCTTACTTCGCTTGAGGGGGCAAGTTCACGGATGGTAACCACGAAACTTTCTGGATTTAATTGTGTACCCCAAAGGAATAGCACGCACTGAACCCAGTTTGTGCTCGTATTCTAAAAACGAAGATGACGAAAATACGGGGAACTAATTCCAAAAGTGAAGTTCTTCCATAGAGGTGGGATTATTTGACGAACTGTAGCTGTAAAGTAACTTTTTGTCCATTTTTTAATCACTAAATTGTGCATATGGGAACTGATCTGCCATCGTGTCAGATGGTCTGTATTGCTTGTACACGCATTACGGAAGGCGGAGGTCTTGGTGGTTGAAAACATATGGAAGGAGGGGGGGTATGTGGTAATCACAGCCTGCGAGATGACGTTACAGTTTTAGGACATTTGTGATCAATCAAGCTTCACGGGTGACGTCAACAAAGCGTGTGCGTGCCACAGCTTCTGGCCTACATACCATAGGTCTATCGTACCAGCCAATCAGAGACCGTGCGAACAAGCGAGAAGCTGCAGAATGGTAGAAATACCAGAATGCGATTGGCAGATGTCCGGATGATCAATGAGTTTGTTTTGTACATATTATTTAATCCCCCTTATTTCTTTCAATAACCGAACTAATAATTCCGTGGCATTTTCCTCACATCTCGATTACGTGGGAAATTGCGCGCCAGTTCCAGTATGGTTTCAGTGCCTACGTGCGATCCGTGAATGCGAATAAGTGAGCCATATTCCGTGATTCGTATTCCGCGTTCACTGCGTACTACTACTACTACTACTATTACTACTACTACTACTACAGCGGGGCGAGGGAGAAGGAGGCAAACTATAACCACCACATACATGGGGAACAATCACAACAATTCACAGACCAAGTTCCATGCCACATTAGAGGATACAGGTCAGAGGCATGCAAGAATGGAACATTTGAAAATGTGGAACTCACCCGTTCATCTCAATCTATCTGATTACGTGTGAGGGTGATAAACAGATAGGTAGGAAATGGCGAAGACGGACAGAGGCGAGCAACTCAGTCAGTCCAAACTTGGTGATCTATGCATGGGCAGTCAATCCCATAACTATAATCTACCCACCATTTACCAGTATTGATTGAGGCGTCAACGGGATTGCAAGTGAATGTGATTTATTCTCTATGTGAAAACAGTTCTCGGGGAAAACCTAACGATTATCTAAAAAGACAATCGATTTCCATTGCAGGGTCCTATGAGTGTCCCTAAACAATCTGATTTTCCAAGACCATTAAGTTTGCAGATGATGTAGTCTTATGTCAAGCCATTTCAAACCAACCGGACATAGAATCATTTTCCGACAGTTTGTCACAAGTGCAATCATGCTCGAATCAATCCGGTCTTCATTTGAATGCTTCTAAATGCTTCGAATGCATTTTATGTCCTTCCCGATCCAATTATCCCTTGGAACCCTTAGTCATCAACTCCGTACCCGTTACTAGAACATATCACCAAGTACCTAGGAGTCACCATAAATAGCAATCTACGGTGGTCCCCTCATGTGTCAGCTTGTGTTGGTAGACTATGTCACTTATATTTTCAAATACGCAAGCTACGACAATTTTACGTCAGACATGAAACTGTATGTTCCTTTGTTTATCAATGCATTTCTCCCGTCATACTTCATTGTTCGCCCGTTATTTTCCCCGGACTACTTAGAAAGAATTTCATTACTCTATCTCGCGGTTTAGTAACTATCAACTGTGTTTCTCTTATTCCTTTAAGCACTCTGATTACAAAATTGTGTAATTTGCATATCACTTCATGAGAGAATTTTGCTTGTAAGATCCTCAATAACCCCAGTCACCGGGTCAATCACGATTTATCTGCTTGCCGTTCCCACGCAGTACAACCCGATCCAATTTTCGCTGCTTATCCTCACGCATAAAAATTTGCCTCAACCCAACGGTTCCCTATCTGACTCTTATTCTCATTGACACGGTGAGAATCCTTAACAAACTAATTTAAAACCTATAAAGATGAACATCTATGCAAGTTTTATCATTGTTATATATGAATGTTCATTTCGTTTTTTATCCAATTTCAACGGTTAACAGACTTTTTGACTGAAATGTAGGCACAGTTGCCTGAAAAAGTCATCTATATTACAATATAATACAATACAATACAATAAATTCCGCAGTGTTCACTTATTTGCGCAACAATAACTCCTCATTTTGGATGTGGAGTTTATCTCTAGTCAATCTTCATCCATACAAGGTTATAAAGACCAGTTACGTCTCGTGGATGAGATCGGGAGAATGTGAACGCCTGCACGGTTTCAGTACACAAAAAATACGGTTTGAAGTTCTCCAGCTGAATCGAGTTGGTTCTTTGCAAATCGTTCACAACGGTGTACACTTTTTCGGGATTACTAACTACATTACTCACAACCTGATAGTAGGTAGCGGTGG